TGATCCAGTCTTTCCCGAGTACTATGCTGAGATTAACGAAACAACAATGGTGGGCCAATTGGCCCAGAAACAAGTGACCCGGGATATTGCGGATGATTTCTACCGGTTGCAAGCGATGCGTGTCCCAGGATCCCAAACGCATCCGCACCTGAGTAATCATTCTTCGCTTACGGATCTGGACGCGACAGCGCAGCCGCCTGCTCTGGAGCTGACTGCATCTGCAAGCACCTCGCCGTCATATTTGCACGACATCCACGCGACGATGCAAGAAATGTGCAGACAGCAGACGAAGCCCGAAGTGCCGCGCGGCACCGGGCCATGAGGCGGACGCAACACATCGCCAATCGCAGCGCAATGCGCAGACACGTGCCGACTGCGATGTCCAATCAGAGTTCCCGAGGCGGACCGCCACCGCCCCCTTGCGAAGCGGGCGAATCCGCGCTGCAACGGCAAGGGCGGACACGCCCGAGCACAGACGCACTTGCGGTGTCGGACAGATCCTTCGCACAGTGTGCTGTCTGCCTCGAGTCCTTCTCACTGCGCGAGAAGATGTGGAGGCCCCAATGCGGTCGCCAATGCCACGCCGAATGCTGGGACCGCAACGCGCGGGCGCACGTGTCAAGGAGACGGTCAGGGGCTTGTGAAGAGGCCCCATGTGCCATATGCAGGGGACCAGGAATCATCGTGGCGGTGCATCCATTTGCTGGACAGGTCGACACATCGAGCTCAGCAGCTGTGGCCATTTAGCAGGCTCAGGAGATATCCGACCTGCGCCGTAGGCTGGAGGAGATCCTTGTGTCGATTCCGCAAACAAGCTCGGCCACGAGCCATCTGGTTCCATCCCCCCCCCCAGGCAATGGCCACGCCGATTCCCCTTTTTCATGGCGCGGGGACACCTGCAGTCAAAGCCCCATCGATACAAGATGCGGGGACACCTGCAGGACATGCAGCGCCGAATCCCTTCAGCAACCCACTGCTAGACCGCCTAGAACAACAACGTCAACAGGCGGTCACAAGGCATCGCAGAAGCCCTCGCTGGGCCGCGAGCAGGAGGGTATAGTCCCCATCGAACAGCGTGACCTTGGAACAAGCAGTGGCTGCTGAGAGAGCGATGCATGAGCAATCCACAGCATTGATGTTGCAGGATACTGCCATCCGCACCACTGTGGAAGAGACGGACACGCTGCCCGAACCAATCAAAACCAAAAGGTATGACGATTGGGCAATCGATCGCGAGCCTACCAAGATGGAAAAATGAACTCCTTCATGGCAAACTGGGATTCTGCATCGATGAACCTGACAAGGCACCCGTTTGTTGTCCACCAGAGAAGGCTCAGACGGCAGATGGGCGCGGAGACATGCACGATCTCGCCCCCAGCTGGCATTCAGCATGTGCACTCAGCAGGAAAAGTTCAAAACAATGTTTCCAGGGAGGCTGCGCATGCTGGTAGATTTAGGATCGAACCTACACATTATCGGACTTGCTCCAGCACGAGAGTTCGACCGCATGGACGCATGCCAGAGGTCACGAACCTTGAACAGCTGCCCCATGTCAATGGAGTCGGCAGTGGAGCAGCTATTTTCCGCAATTGCGTGCACATGCCACCACCGCGACAAACCACCGGCCGCGAAAGTGGATGCTTTGGTTGGTAATATTGCACAGGGATCCGGATTAGATCTACCTGCTATCCTCGGCCTCGCCTCCGCGCAATCAAAGGGGGCAATGCTCATTTCAGGCCTGCCAGGACACTGGCCAGTACAGTCATGAAACGCTGGGCCGCTTCATGGTCCAGGCCGTGGGCGACGCGACCACCGTGGTGGTCAGCTCGACCATGGGCCACTGCCGCCGATTTGATCGCCCAGTGGATCGCTGTGAGATGCCCAGGATGCTGCTTGCAGGCGTCCACCATAAGGCGGAAGAGGCAGCGGGCAAGTGGCACTGGGACCCATACCCAATGACGAATATTTTACATCCACACCTGGAGGAGGCAAGGGACTGGCTCACAGGCAGCCCCAACGTGTCAAGGGCGGCCACGCCCAGAGAGAAATGGGGCTATTGCGATTACGGAGAACACGCCACAGGTCTTCCACATCGGAGGCCCTAGCTCGTCGGCACATGACGACGCCGAGCGGAGCACCAGTGGGGCAAGCAAACGGGCTGGGCCACACTATGAGAGAATACGGGTCTCCTGACCAAAGCAAGAGCTTTCAGGATGCAGATAGCCTCGATAGGACCGCTTGGATACTTCTGGAACTTGTCTCCAATACAAGAAGCCCTCCAGATCCTTGAACTTAGAGATATCTGGATCCGTCCATGCAATGTTGGCATCAAGTTTGATCGTGACAACAAGAGGCCCAGTGGCTCTTATGTGCAGGTTTACATCGCGTACACAATTGCCAACATCACTTTGGAGATGTAAGTGTACAGATACCATAGAGCATTTATTTGATTGGTACGGACCCGGCCAGCAACGCGCCGAGTGGCGAAACAAGACAATGACAGTCCTGACAGCACAGCTTGTGGACCAACAGTGTCAGTCCAGCGACAGCCAACCACGCGGGGGCGATGTTGCGCGCCGGGCCACGCTTGGCCCTGACAAGAAGAATGTAGCTGAAGAGATTCAAGTCACGGACCAACCGACCGGCTATAATTCCACAGCACTTTGACCCAACGGAGCCCACAATAGATGCACGAGACTATATTGGGGAACGGCTCCCCAGCTTTGCTCGGGCACGGGCATGTGCCGCCGAGCCACAGGAATCGGGTTACGTTCATCGAAGACGGTCGTCCTCTTCCCCTCTCGATTGGGCTTGGCGACGGGGACCTGCCCCCCATTCAGACTTTTCCGGCGTTGGTGGACGCGCCAAACATGCAAACGGCATCGCCAAGTGATGCCCGGACAATGCAGAAGGAAAGACATGAAGTTGATACAGGAGTTGACATCCAACCAAAGAAGGTACCCAGCCGCTTTCACGATGGCAGCGACGACGGCGGTGACGACCTCGAGGGTCTAGGAGATACCGCGCTGCTCTCCAACGTTATGGTGGAAGATCTGGAGTCCGACGACGACGACAGCCTCTTCTGAAAGCTCCCAAGCGGCATTGCGGACGCGCGTGCCAACGTATTGGCCATTGTCCCCACGCTCTGCAATGGAAGGGGCCACTGTGTAGACATGCACGAACTATGTGGAGGGACTGGCGGCGCACAACAAAGTGCCTTCAAGAGAAAGCTCACCTCTGGAGGCCACCTAGGCAATAGTACCAACGTTGACCTGGGTAACTCACAGGTACAGCAGGCCGTGGATCATCATCTGCATGCGCGCTTTGTCGCGATAGTTATACTTCAACTTGGCTCTAGGACCACGCGATTGCCTTCGTATTTTCTGCCAAAGCAATTATGATATGTGGTACAAACACCACAGAGAAAACCTTCCCCACGTTACCTTTTGTGCGAGGGTAGCAGTCATGCAAGACGATCTTCAACGCATGTCCTTTAGCCGGTTGGCGCCTGGGTGAGTGAGATCGCCCCCTTGGCGACATCAGCCAAACGCAAGGCCACTTGCAAGCAGATCGCAGGCCAGTGCTTGACCAGGCCACGCGATTCATATGGCGCTCTCATCAAGAAACTGACAGAAATGGTGGCCAAACATCATGCCATTCTCAAACCATTCGACAACAACCTATGTTCTGGTTATCACGAACGCGCCCAAGCGTGCAACCGAGAACTGGCGCAGGCGGCCCACTATACTCCAAGGGTGCAGTCGATGATCGTGTACCCAGTACAGATTGCAAAGTCACCCTGGTGGTCAACAGTGCTGGATCCGATCTCGATGACCCTGCGACACCACGGGGAGAGAACCGATCCATCGGACGACCACCATCTGGAGGACTTGGCTGTCCGGCCTGCATCAACAATGTTCAGATGAAGTCGCCAAGTCGCAACCGAACCCCACGTCAATGCCGTTGATGTGACAAGGCGCCCCATCACTGGGTATGCCCGAGTTGCAAATGGGACTGCGGCACAAAGAAGCGGTGCCACCTGCGCGCGCCAGGAAAGCGCAGGTTTGCCCAACCGTGGCAAAAGTCAGACAACCATGGACAAGCCCCGCGAGGCACATCACCTGCCATCGAGACAGAACATTTTCGCTTGACATGGCCCGTCGCTCCCGCGACGATCTCCTATGATCCTACTCTTGGGACTATCGCTACTACGGTACAACAGAGTTGCTTATGGGCTTCGCCTTAGGGGAAGCGCATGGTTGGGCCCCCCAACCCCCTTCACACTCTTCTGGGCCTCCCTGAGGCCGTCGTGGAGGTAACTCGAATGCTCTTGGGTCTGTCTTGGGTCATCTCGAGGCGCCCCTGAGGCGTTCTTGGGGTTGACCTGGGGCATCTGAGGCCGAACATTGCCGAAACTTGGGCAAATGAAACTAGGCCCGCCGAGGCCAACCCCCTCACGCTCCCCCTTGTTATGTCCCCCGGCTAATGGATCGCGACGTTACTCGCGTTTTTCGTCAGTTGGGCCCGCCGAGGCCACCCTTCATGTTGCCTGTTTTTTATTATTTTTCCCGGCTGGCGGATCGCGACGCTATGCGCGCTTCCAGTCATCACGCAGGATGTCATGTCCACCTTTCCTTATTTCAGCATGAGCATGTCGCCTTGTCCCCCCTCGCCCGCGTATATGCTTCGGACCACGATCTGCGAGAAAAAATCTCGTGCTTCCCAGGCATGCGATGTTTGGTGTTTTTCAATGCGGACCCCCGGGAATTCCCGACCCTTTCCCCAGGGCCGGCTTTTCATCACGAGCCGTTTGTTTTGACGGTCCTGGACACGCAGGAGTGGCCTTACGCCAGGGTGACTTTTGGTGCGGGCCCACTGGGGCCCCCCGATCGCTGAATGCGATGCGATGGCAGCGGCTTGCGCCTTCCCCAAACGGCCTCCCCCTGGGCCGCGGGTCAAGGGTCGCTCTTGCGTCTAGCCGACGGTCTGGGGGCTCAGCGATGGCTCCCCAGAGGCCCAAAGACGTACCATGCCTGGGGAAGAGCGCGCGCCGCTCCACGCGGCCGCCGCGGCAGGACGCCATAGTGCAGCGCGCTCGCGAGAAGGTTGGCACCGAGGACCCCTGGGCTCGCCCCCTCGCTCGGGGGCAACACTGGCAGTAGGAGGAGGCGGACGAGGGAGAAGGTGGAACAGGATGAGGAGGGAGGCAGGATAAGAACGGAGGAGGGAGGACGAGGAGGCGTCGGAGTCAAAGAAGGAGGAACAGCAGCTGCAGCAGCCGACACATAACGAGAATGAGCCGAACATCTGATCATTCCGCCCCAAGAGCCATCCCAAAAGCCCCAAGAAGGCCCCAGGCGGCCCCAAGGAGGCCACCCACAAGCCCCAAGAGGCCCCCAAGAAGCCCGAAGGAGGCCCCAGAACGACCTCCAAGACGTTTCCAAGTTGTCTCCAAGAGGCTCCACCAGCCCCCCAAACAGCTCCCAAGACGCCAACAAGAGTCCCCAGATAGTGCCCAAGAAGCCCACGACGCCGCCCCGTGGACTCCCCGCCTCTTCTGGGGGTCGGCAGAATGGTGCAAGCCTCTTGAAAAAGAAAGGAGGAGGGGGGACGAGAAGGAGTCGGACGAGGAGGAGGAGGAGGAGGCGGAGGAGGAAGAGGAGGAGGAGGCGGAGGAGGAGAAGGAGGAGGATTTGCAGCAGCAGAAGCAGGACGAGAAGGAGCCAGCAGGAACCTCGTCGTGGGAGGAGGAGCGTCGCCGTGTGAGGAGGACAAAGTCACCGTCGGAGGAGAAGGGGGAGGAGGAGGAGGATGAGGAGGACGAGGATTTCATCCTACCATGGCCGCGCAACGTCCGTGCAACGTCAAGAAAGGAGGAAGAGGAGGAGGAGGAGGAGGAGGAGGAGGAGGAGGAGGAAGAGGAAGAGGAAGAGGAGGAGGAGGAGGAGGAGGAGGAAGAGAAGGGGGAGGAGGTGGAGGGGTGAAGGGAGGAGGAGGAGGAGGAGGAGGAGGAGGAGGAGGAGGAGGAGGAGGAGAAGCACGAAGGGGAGGACTAGGACGAGGAGGACGAGGCGGGCGAGGGAGGAGGAGCAGGAATATCACGGTGCTCTTCTTCTCTATCCGATCTACTTCTGGCCTCCAGAGGCCTCGCGGAGGCCTCCAGAAGGCTCCAGAGGCCCCCGCATGCCTTCGGAGACCCCTAGATGAGAGCGGAGGGCCTCTCCGGTCCGTCGCCGCGAGCGGGCCGAGGCCCCGGCGCTCCCTCCGGCTCAGGGGGGCCTTCGGGGACCCCGCTGGGCATCGTCGATCGAAGCAGCGCGAACGCGGATTCGGGCGCGCGGCAGGCCAGCCACAACAGGGGGAGCTGTGGTCCTTACCCCCATGGGGGACCCATCGATTTCGACACCCTTCTCGAGAGATCGTCGATGCGATGGGTTCCCCCGGGGGGGTAAGAACCACAGCTCCCCCAGTTCTGGCCTTAGTAGGCGTGGATCATCGGCGGGTCCCGTTTCCACGTGAAGTCGGCGCGCCCCGTCGCCAGGTCGGGCGTATGTCTTTCGGGGGCCCAGCTGGGATCGGGCAGGCTCGGCACACTAGGCATCGGCCTGCCAGCAGGTGCCCCGCGGAGGTGTCTTGCCCCCCGATGGCCCGAGGGGTCCACAGAAGCGCTGGGGCACCTTAGGGCCCTTGACGATATTTAACATGTGCCCCAACATGTTTTTCATGCCAGTTTTGTGAACCGTCTGTGCCCGCTGTAAGCTCTGGGGGGCCTTTGGAGTCCTTGATGGGTCACCGTCGAGGAAGCGCAAGCATGAACTGACGCGCGTGGATCAGCGGTGGATCCCGTTTCCACATAAGTTCGGTGTGCTCCACGCAAGTTCGCTTTGCTCCACATGTTTCGGGGGGAATGTTCCCCGATCCGTGAATCTGACGCCTACTCGCCAGATCCACGGATCTTCGGGGGGGGGGGGCCGTCGGCGCCCCTGTTGGGATTTAGTATTTAGTAGGCGCGGCACATGAGTAATCGTCTTGCCAGCAGGTGTCCCGCGGATAGTTCTGACCCCCTTGACGGCCCTGGGTACCCGCAGGCGCCCTGGAAGGCTGTTCGGGGTCTGGGCTCATTGGGGGCCTTCGGAGGCCCTGTTGGAAGCGCGACCATGGAGTAGGGCGCGTGGCCTCTCGAGGAGATGCCGCCGATATAAGAGGCGGGCCATGTACAACGGGTCCATGGACGCGCATGCTGCTCAAAACGAGGAGACGGCCCAGCACGGGAAGGTCGGGGGTCCGAATCGATACAGTCAGCGGCCCTCTGATCAAGCATCTGGGGCCGATGTCTGTATTTCCGAACGCGACATCTTTGACTTCGATTGCGGCGAAGCTGTTGCGAGTGGCCTCGGCTGTCTCTTTTTCGATGTCTTGCCCCAGGCTGAAGTCGACACGATGTTTCATTCGGTCATGGTTCGAGGCCTTCCAAATGGTGCCGGAGGAGATCGGGTCGGAGTCGCGCCGCATCGACGATGCTTCGGCGATACGGCTCGATGTGGAGCCTGATGTTCTCCACGCCGATGCGTCGCCGACGCATCGCCCCGATGCATCGGCGATGCCTTGACGTTGGCGATGCGGCGCGATCCTCCGACCTCATACGTTCGGACCCGACGAGGCCTCCAGTCGGCCACGCCTAAGACTGACGCCTTGCCGGAGTGACCTTTGGTGCGGGCACACAGGGGTTCCCCCAGCACCGGGTTACGCGCTGTCATAGCTCTCATCAGGGCCAGGGGCAGTCAGGAGCAATGGCCCAAACCAGAGTACCCAGGACCGCGGTTGTCCCTGATAATTCTGGCGCCCAGCACTCCTGAATCATCAGGGCTGGGGGCAGTCAAGGACAGCTAATTACGGGTTCGTGCCTCGGGTGCCCAAACCGGAATTCAGCCCGGACCGCAACTCTCCTATGTAATTCGGGCGTTCAGCGCTGGGGATGCTTGGATATTCGGCTTCCCCCGCGGCCACTCTACGGCCGCGCATCAAAGGCAATTTGGGTCTAGGGCCACTCCTGCGTGCAGCCGATCCAGTGACCGCTTGGAGGGTCCGGAAAGCCAAGACGGTCCCCGCTCCGACGTGGCCAGCGGGAGGACAGGGCTCATTTAGATTCCTCTGATTCGGTTCGATTCGACTTCGGTGGCTTCCGAATCCGACTCGATTCGAATTCGCATTCCGATCTGGGCTCCGATGTGTCAATGGAGGCCCACCAGCCCGCCGTTTTCCGCCGATCCGACTTTTCCAGACTCGGCTGCCGATTTCCGCCGATCCGATTCATTTCGATCGCCGATCCGACTTATCGATTCGATTCTGGGCTCTCCTGGAGGAGGGATGCGCCCCCCTCGGTGGCGACAGCGAGCGCTTCGTGGCGGAGTGCTACACGGCCCCCGCGCCCCCCGCCCACGTCCGCGACCGTCGGCGCGGGAGTCAGGGAGTCTGAAGCGCAGGGCGTCGAGCACGTTCAGAAGTAGAGCCTTGGGCCGGTCCTGGTTTCGGTCTTTCTCGCTCTCGCTCTCTCTCTCTCTCTCTCTCTCTCTCTCTATATATATATATATATACATCGCTCGCTCTCCCTGTCTGTCCATATCGCTGTTTTTCTTAACCATCCTGTCGTGTTGGGTCCTCGTTTTGAAGAGACAGCGCCCCGCGTCTCCCTCCTCCTCCCGCTGCCCACTCCCTCCCTTTCTCGCCATCATCATCGTCATTGTCATTCTCATCATACAGCGACTTGTCGTCGGCATTTGTGGAAGAATCGTGGCCGCAATACCTTTGCTCAAGTTCTTGAGGGTATGCAGGCCCTGCTCGAACGCCTCGTTCCCGACCTCAGCAGTGCCGTCACTACTGCGATCATCGTGCGGGGGAGTTCGACCCCGTGCCCAGATTGCGTGTGCTCTCCCGCGCTCCACTGCCCTGCGCTGGAGTGCCACTGCCCAAACGGCGAGGGCCAGGTCACGCCGAGCTCGCCCACGGGGTGGTCGACGGAGCTCCTGGAGGTGTTGAGTCGACCGCCGACTGGGCCGCCGGCATTCAGGGTTGAACGCCGCCAATCGCCCAGAATCCGTCTCGGGATTGGTGCGACCGTTGGCAATTTCTGTTGCCCGTCTGGTTGAGCGAAGAATTCCAACGAGTTGTTTAGCTACCGTCTCCCTCCCTCCCTCCCTTCCCCCCGGGCTCTACGGCAATTCTGCGTCTCGTCAACGCGGCGGCGACCCAGGCGGCGGCGACCCATATCTGGAAGCACATATCATGGACACGTGGTATGTAGAGCTCTAAGACCCAAGAAGACACGGAACTATTCGAGACCCCCTCATAAGAGTCCTTGCTTTCGGTACCCACAGACATGGTTACCGACAACCGTGTGCTCGCGGCTGTGGCCAGTGAAGTGCAAGGACACTTGCGAAAAATAGGTTATGCTCGGAATCGCGGCACCGACGAAACCTTTTTTTCTGGTATCGTGGACTATTGGGTACGACGAAACTTACGATCTCGACTCGGACGACCATGGCCTGTATGTCGAAGTATGATTTACTGACATGGTCAAGGGCGCTCTACCAGAGCAACAATACGAGTCACTGCACAGCGACCAAGCAACCATAATGCGTGTATATGTCTCGACCGCAACAAAAATAGCTGCATTTGTCAAGGAACACGACCTCCTGGCCAAGGCACAGATACAAGCCAACCCGACAATGATATTTAAGGCCTTGCACACCAGATTTCATCATTTGGTATGATAACGAATGTCTCAGGATGCAAGACATCAAGAATGCGACCTACATCATGACCTCTAGATTTGTGTACCATGGGAAGTTTGTCAAGAACGACAAAGGCGAAATGGAACGACCAATGCGACGAAGCCTTGTTCTTCATGGCTGTATGGGCGTCGGAGCATTATGCGCAGAAGCCTTCTCGGGCACGGTTCGGCGATCAAACCAAAGACTGCTCGCCAGCGCGGCTGCGTGCAAGAAAACAGTAGATCATGGCATCCATGGACATCGACAAGGTCTTCTTGAAGGGTCTGGCTTACCGTGAGTTGGCAGAGGTTACCGGTGAGAAAGAGCGCATGGAATGTTTCACTGGTCCACTTGGTTCAGCCTCGATGCTAAGGGCACTGCCTGGTGTCTCGTCCTATGACGAGATAAAGCGGTGTTTTCAATGCCTTAAACCAGGCACAGGCACCAAAGACGCCCCTACGGCATTCTCACTGAAGGTCAGAACCGTCACACGAGGTTTCGGGCTGAAGCCACTTCGTATGACGAAGAATTTAAGGCGGTCACGCCCAAACCTACTGACAGCCAAGCACGTGGACGACATCAACATGGCAGGAGTGGGGGAAACCGTTGACAAGTATGTCAACTGTGTAAAAGGCACGTTCGGTGCAGAGAAAGTGAACAAACACTGTTGCACCAATTGTGCCATGCGGTTTGCTAAGACCGAGGACGGCCACGTCCAGCTGGATCAGGATTAAGTTATTCAACAGCTTCGCCTCGTACGCCATCCAGAACTTACGGTTGCTGCAGCGGAAGAAAGAGGAACGAAGACACCACCCGACACGTTCATCAGTTTACGTGGCGCCTTGGCAAATGCATTGATCACTCAAGTATGGCTGATGGTTTGCGGGGAATCCTTACCACGTGCACAGGAACCCACAAACCTCCACGTACGAAGTCTTCGCGATGTCACGCGCAAGCTGCAGCAAAGGCCGAATAACATTATTCATCGACTTACGATTCCGACCGGACAAGTGGACCTTCATAGTGACTCGGGAAACCGTCGTCTTATTGGGGTTGAGGATGACGAAGCAACGGGATATGGCATCCGAGGAGCTAACCTTTTACTGCGTGGACACACGCCCGACGTTAAATAAGCAATACATCTGACTGATGCATGCTGCAAGGCGCATAGCTTGCAGGTGCGCTCCAGCTCCTCAGCTGGCAGCCGCACATACTCTCGAGGACTGCTGTCCTACCATAATTACGCTACGTGGGCTTAAAGCTGGCCCCCCTAACATTTTTCCCAACTGAAGGACATTTTGGAGTTTGGTGGTCTCAGCATTAAGGCCGTCCTTACTTTAGACGCTGAGTCGGTCTGTCAATCCTCGTCAAGTAAGGACTCGAAGAAGCCGACCGAATGCACCGCACCTTGTTGGGGCGTATCAGCTGAACAAGACAGATGATGGACCGAGGTATAGTTCAAAGCGTACACTGGTGTGAGACACGAGATACGACCGCCGACGGCCATACCAAGGGGTGCATCGATTGCGCTTTACTGCCGCAAGTGGTGGAAGGAAATCGACCCTTCAAGTACGAAGTAAAGCAGCACGGGCCCTATGTATAGAGGCAAGAAAAGGACAGCACCAACATAGGGGTGCCCTATTCAGGGCCAGCGGACACCAATGAGGATGATTATTCGAACTCCGACAAGTAGTTATCCTTACCCGCCCATGGGCATAGATAGTCATGGCGCCACAGCTTCCGCGAGTGCCCGGACACAGGCAGCAACCCGCTTTTATTCTTAGAGGGTATCTGACCGTTTTGTCGAATCCCTTCTCTCGCTGCACTGACGAGTGGCATTTGGCGTGTCGCCCCCCTTGACGATTTGCGGATGGTCGCGGGGTCTTGCCCGTCACTATCCATAATTATTTGTGGTTGGTCGTGGCAATATGCCATGGCCGGCCCTAATGCTCTGTGCTGTTTTTCTTGCGTTTGCCTTCGCACTGCTGGTGATGTTGAACAACAAAATCTGCATCCCCGTTTTTAAATTTCTTTGATGAATTAGGACCAGGATCTAGCGTTCGGCCCCCCCCCCCCCTCCCGACTTTAAGCGAGGTTCAAGGAGAGGCTGTGTAGCGAATGCTATATCCGACGCTGTCTTGGCTCAAGGCAGCGCTGTCCCATGTGCCAGGTGCGCGCGACTGTGCTCGCCTCGACTGGGACCTTAGTGCAGGACAAAGACCACGTCCGTCTATGATCCACATTCCATTCCCATGGCTCCTCTCCTGTCTATCCTCTCGCTTGCCATCAAGGGACGAGTTGTGGGATGGCTCGATGCGTCGCCGACGTTATCCTAAGAGTCGGGCCCCCAGCTTATCCGTGGGGGCTTCGCCCCCTGCCGCCGGCCCCCTCTCTATCATAATGGGATACATCCGAGCTATATTGGGATGTCTGGGCACCGTCCTGATGACACTCGGGAACGTCATGCTAGGGCGGCTGGCGATGAGCAAAACAAATCGAGATCCTAAAATCATTGTTGAACGTTTTGTTGTCTTCTTAGAGCATTGTCCTCCAGCTGTTCATTGGAAGCGCTCTGGGAACGGCTGGGGATTGATTGTTTCAGGCACTATTTGGGGACATTGCAGTTTTTCTGATCAGGAGAAGAAGTGTCGCCTTTGGGCAGCCTCCGCGAGGTGGGGGACGCGAGCTTTGCATAATTTGCTAGGGATTGTAGCCTCGGGTGCGCGGATATTGCGTAAATTGCAAGGGATCGTGGCCCCGAGGGCACGAATGTGGCGTAATTTACAAAAAGGATCGTGGCCTCGGGGACGCAAGTGTGGCGTACATTACAAGGGATCGTGGCCTCGGAGCGCGAACGTGGTGTATGTTACGAAGGATTGGCTTCGGGGGCGCGAAAACAGCGTAATTTACAAGGGATTATAGCCTCGGGGGCACGGACCTCTTGTATTTTTATGTTTCCCCCCCCCCAGGAATTCTGAGAACCCCCCCGGGGGACGTTAACCTGTTTTCGGTCCCCCCCTTCGCACTGTAACAATTGATACTGGAAGCTGGAATTGGTGTAGGGAGCAGCAACCTTCAGCCTCGCAGCCTGATGGCCCCGCAAGGGGGCCGGCGGATTACCTCACGGTCAAGCCCTGCGCCCTTGTTTTTCATTTCTTAATGTCATGCTTGACGCCAGCAGTCTAGAAACCGCTCGGGCCAGGGTGCCCTGGGTTTCTTCGTTTGCAGCCGAAGTGCAAGAAGCCCAACGCTGGACCAAGAATCCTCGGCTGATTTCAGGTTTGGGTTTCTTGCGGTAGGTTTCTTGCAGATCGGCCCACACTGTATTGAAATTTGTTGTTGGACATTCGTTTTGCGCCATTGTCGAACGGGGACCCAGCTACCCACGGGGGACACCCGCGTGCGGGCTCAGAGACGACACATCCGCCAAGCGACGCTTCACGAGAGAGGCGCGCCGTCTGCAGTGGCGCTTGCATCTGTGGAATATGCACCCAGGCAGCCAAAAAAAACGCCGAAATCTGCAAAGCGCGCCGGCCTGACTTTTTCAAGACGCTGGATGCCGTGGGAGGTCGCTGGCCTCCACGGCCCGAGCGCGCCCTTTCTCTTTTCGCTTCCCTCTATGGCCGCCCTCCTCCGCCCAGCTCCCCTTCCCGACCTGCAGACTCGCCCT